GGGGGGCGGTGTCCGCGACCGCGCCCTCCAGAAGCCTGGCTCTGATTGTTTGCCGTGTCCATATGTCGCCCGTGCGGGGTCCCGCCCCAAGGCTGCGAGCGCCGACGGTCCGCGCAGAGGCTGCCGCGGGCTGGGGGGGCAGCCGCAGTGCCACGCTCTAAGGGCCAGCGGGTCCCGAGACGCGCGACAGTCAGGTTGCTCCGAGTAGGGTGACGTGTCGCGCAACGTCCCCAGAAGGCCCTTGGGGTGTCCTCCAGCTCGGGGTGGAGCCGGTAAGAGCCCGGCCCCAGCCGTCCTCAGCCCCGCGGGGCAGATGTGGCCGAGGGTCGGTGCCCCGGCGGACGGTGCCGCGCCAGGTGTCCTGGACTCGGCACGGGTGGAGCGCGGTGGTGTGACACCAGGTCCAGGGTCCGTCCCTGTGCTGGCCAGCGGGGAAACACACGCGCGCACCCACACGCTCTGCACGGGGACAGTGCCGCCGGCTCCGCGCACGACTCCACACACGCCGCCCTGCGTCCTTCCTTACGCGACGCTTCTTTCTGGAAAGATCTCGCTCCCTTAGCACCTGTAGTCTAGGGGCGCAGGAACCCTGATGGTCGCGCACCTGTTCCCCCAGAGCAGACCCCACAGATACCCACGGCCCAGCCTGGCCTGGCCTTGAAGGGCCATCCTAGGTGAGGAGTTTGGGGTCAGTATTGCAGAATGAAGGATGGGCATGGAGGGGTTCAGAAGAGCCTCTGGTGCCCATCCCGAGCTGACCCTGCACGTGCCCCCCTTTCCAATCTCCTGCCCGGTGTGGTCATAAAGGGAAACCTGAGACCCGAGCTGGGCGCAGGGACGCTGGACACTCACAGGGTTGCTCTCTCCTGGCTGTGGTCACTCTATTCCAGCAACCCGACTCTACACTTCACCTTAAGGAGCACATCCAGAACTTTCTCCTGGGCCACAACCTGGGCTTCGGAGACCCCGTGGGAACCCAGCTGTGCCCCTGAGGAGCTATGTGGCCACGGTGGGTCCCTTACTACCTTCTGCGTGGGGTTGGGGGTGGCGTGGATGAGGGGAACGTGATGAGGTCGCGTCCTGGTGACCAGTGAGTGTAGGTGCTCGGTCCCTTCCCTCTAGAGGAGCCCCCACCTGGCCTGCTGGTGGAGCTGCCCGCCTCGGTCCCCAGCGTCCTCTTCCCTAACTGCCCTGGGAAACCCAGCCAGAGCCCGGGGTCACCACCCAGCTTCCCCAGACCCTGGGCCCTCCTGACCTCGTCCCCTCTCCGGTCTGGCTCACCGTCTCATCAGCGCTCTGGGATCTGGTGGGACTGGGTTATTGAGGGTCTGTGGGTGTCAGGCTCTGTGTGCAGCCGGCTACCCTCAACAAGCTCGCAGCTTGGTGACTGTCTCTCACAGAAGGAGGACACAGCAGGCAGCAGGGCCTGAACATTTCCTGAGCGAGGCTCCGCCCACCCACGCGCTTGATGCCGGAATGCGCAGCATGGTGGAACCCAGGGCCCACTTGGTGCTGCCTGTGGCCCAGTGCAGGCCAGAGGGTCCCCCGCATGCCCTGGCCAGAGCCCATTGAGGTCTGCCTGGCCGCAGCTGACGGTGTCGGTGCAGTTCATGCAGCTGTCACGGTCGTGGTCAAGTGTGCTGAAGGAGCCACCCTCCTGTTTGTCCTTGTGGCCCGAGCCCCAGAACACATCCCTTGCATAGTGTGGCCAGCATGGGCAGCAGGCTCCATGGTCCCTCTCGCCTGTGCCCTCAGGGCTCCTCCCAACCCTGGCTGCCCAGGGCTGCCTCACCATCTGGGACCCCCAGGGCAGATGGAGGTGGGAAGTCAGGGGTCTCTGGGGCCGCATCCTCCCCCACCCCTGTGCAAGCTCACCACTCCCAGCCTGCTAGGGCATCTCAGCAGGGCAGGAAGAGTCCCTTGGGGGTAGTGGAGGTGGCCGAGAGCCCCCACCCCTCCCAGGTGCTCACCAGTGTTCCCCAAGTACTGGCTCAGGGTCAGCTGGTCCTCCTTGTCCACGTGGAAGTTGTCATAGTGGGCCCAAAGCATGAGACTGTCCACGTACCCCAGGTCCACCATCAGCTCAATCTGCAGGCCTGGCTGGGCCGTCACGTCCGAGATGTGCTGCAGCCCCAGCCAGTGGTCACCTGCAGGAGTGGGCACCCAGCCTTAGGCTGGCCACCTCCTCACACGCCCAGGCCACATCCCCCATTTCTGTGCCATCTACTCTAGAGGCCAGCCTCACTCCCTCCACTGTCCTTGCCCTGTGTTCCCAGTGAGTGTCAAAGAGGCAGCCCCAGGACAAGGCCCGGCTGTGCTCCCTCCTTCCTCCCAAGTCTCCAAAGCCCTGTTTGTACTTGTGCCAGCCCCTCCCTGCTCTGGTCTAGACTCTGAATCACAGTCCAGTCACCGTCCTCATGCGTGTCACAGAGCACCTGGCAGGGGCTGGGGCAGTTACCTGCTGTGGCCGGTCCACACAGGCCTGCCCCTCTGCCTCCCGAGAGGACATCCATGCTGCCCTAAGCAGCTTTTATTTGAGAAATGCACCTGCTTACCGATGTAATGCACACGTGCACCGTAACAGAGATCCGAACATCCAGAACGGGGGAAGGTCCAGTCGTGCCCCAGGGCTGCTGCTCAGCTTGGTGCAGGCCGCTTCCCTGCTGCTCTCAGGCTGCCTTCTTCCGTTCGACACTGCATCCTGGGGTCTTTCCCCTCCAGTCTTCAGAGTCCCTCCTCATTCTTTATTTTTTGTGACTGGCCACTGCAAGGATGAAACCCTGGACCTTGGTGTCATCAGCACCACGCTCTGACCAACTGAGCTGACTGGCCAGCCCTGTCCTTACTCTTAAACACCGCTGTGCCACGATCTCCTTGTTCATTCCTTTCCATATGCACATCTAGGTTTTGCCCAGACCCTCCAGATTATGGACAGTGCTCAGTGGACACCTCTGTGCCAGGCGAGAAGTGGAGGCTCTAGAAAGAGCCTGTGACCGATGCTCCATTAGGGAGTGAGCCTGGCCTTGCCCTTCCTCGTGCCAATCAAAAATATTAGTATCTTTTGTTTTTGCCAAACACATGGGCACAAAACACCTCATCAGTCACCGTCCCCCCGCCCCTACTGCAGGGCTGCTCACCTGGAAGGGGGCGCCGCCCCTCTGGCTGGACGGCGTATATGCGCTGCCGGCCCTCGGCTTGTCCACCCAGGTCTGAGGGCAGTCCCTCCCTGCCGGGATGCGGAGCCAGGAGAGGGCCGGGCCCCGGAACAATCCAGCATTTACTACCCTCATCCTGGCAGACAGACAGCCGCTGCCCCTCAGCTCAGGCCACAGCTGTCTCTTCTTTCTGAAGTGGTGTTGCTTTGGGCTCCCCCTCTGCTGGCCCCAGCCTTGGCGAGACCTAAATTCTGTATTCTTCCCACTACCTGGGATGCTTGTCCCCGACAGGTCAGTGCAGACCTCCCCTGCTGCCCCGGGGGTCTGCCGTGGCTCTCCCCACCTTCCTCTTCCCAGTGTGGCAGAGGTCTGGGGCTGCCCCAAGCACAGCTCGCCCGTCCTAACATGGGTCTAGGGCTGCCTGTCTTGATGACACCCTGACTGGGACCAGGTGGGTCCTCATGGGGAGTGGGCAGGCCTGCTGGTGGGGACTGCCCAAGGCCAGGAGGCTCAGCCTGTGCCCATCCAGCCCCTCTCCCACACACTGCCCCGCCAGACCTTGGGGTTTCAACACCACCCCCTGGATCTGTGGAGAGAAGACCCCAGTCGGGCAGGCTCAGCAGCTGTGAAGCCCCCAGCCCACCTCTGTGGCTCATAAGGCCCACCTGCTGGCTACCCTTACTGGCCCTCAGTAATGTACGTCCAAGTGGACCTAGGCCACAGAGAGGCAGAGGACAGTGAGCCCCAGCCTGGGGCAGGCAGCCATGCTTCCGGAAGGGGCAGACGTGTTAGGAAGAGCCCACCCAGCAGCCCACCAGCACAACCCTCTGCATCCCCACCGCCTCCAGCTGCAGGACAGCCCACCGCCCTGGATGCTCCTGGGCAGATCTGAGCTGCTGGTCCCAGTTGGGCCTTTTGTTCAGGCCTGGGGTTACCCTGCCTGCTCCCTCCCACATGTCGGGCGGGGGACTGAGCAGGGCAGGGAGCCCAAGGTGTGCACCAGACGGGGTGAAGGCGGGAGCTCTGAGCACGTCCCTTGGCTGGCACTGAGCGGGTAGAGGCAGGTGCTGGGGGCCCAGGACCTGTATCCTTTGCTGGAGGCAGGTGGCAGCAAGTCCCCCCAGGACCCTCTTGTCACCTGAGCCCCATGTCCACACACTTCACAAAACAGGAGCTTCCAAAATTAGAATTTATTTCAGTTTCTAAGGAATGAGATCCATAGTGTGTGACAACAAGGATAGGGCCCAGCCCCCACGGCCCCCACGGAGCACGCAGTGTGGGTTCCACATGATTTGATCACAATGAGCCAACACAGAGACAAACAGACGTTGCTATGGGCCTGTGCTGGGGCTGTGCAGACGGCACATGGTACACAGATCCCAGGAAGAGTGGATCCCATGCAGGGGTGTCTGGGCCAGGGTGCTGAGCAGGGCAGCACCCCAGTGGGCACAGACTGGCACCCACGCTGTCTGTGCACTGAGGGCTAGGGCCACCCCTGGGTACCCTGCTGGATACACAGGAAGCAGGTTCAAGCCCTCCCAACCCTGCAGGGAAGGGGCCACAACCCCCGCACTGGGCTGGAGGTGCAGGGCCCAGAGGGGCAGCCTGGACCCCCGGAGCCGACCTTCTGCAGCACACTCGCCCACCCAGGACACCGAGACCAAAAGAAAAAGACTTCCTCTTTGTCCTGACCAGATTTAAGGCTTGTATTTCCTGACATTTGCTTCAGTTTCTTCTTTTAAGTTAAAATTACCTGAGTAAAAAATTTTCAGATGTTTAAAAAAGCCAAAAACAGACAGGCCGAGCCCAGGATGCCACAGTGCAGCTGGGGTCAAAGCTCCGCGAGCCCACGCTGAGCAGCTGCATGGGGCATCCAGCCTCCCCAGGCTCGCCTGGCCCCGGAACCCACCGTGAGACACCCTGGGGCCAGATGCTGCTGCTGGATGGCGCATGAGAAGGCACAGTGAGGTAGGGACGGCTGCCAAGCCCCACACCTGGAGGCCTCAGCCCCTCCCCCAGCCCTGGCCACGGCCACCCTCGAGCTGGGCCATCTCGGTCCTGGTGCCAGTGAGCAGCCCCTGCAGTGTGTGGGGGTTGGGGAGGGGGATGCTGGGAAGCCTGAGCTCAAATAGTTAAATAATCCTTTATTTGGGCGGGTTGGGGGAGGGGAAGGCAGGAAGGAGAGGGCAGGTGTGGCTTGGCCTGGACCCCCATGGGGGGTGGCACAGGCCTCAGGTGGGCTTGGATGCGCTTGGCACCCAAGAAGTTCCCGCGGGTGGCACCAGCTCCTCAGGAGCCCCTCAGCTGTGACGCGGGGGAGCAGCCCTGCCACGCTGCCCCTTGGCCATGGCCACTCCCTCGGCAGCACCTCCTACTGTCGCGGCCCAGCCACGGACGCCCTCTGGAGGCAGTACTGCGCGGCGGGCAGCGACAGGACCAGGCTCACGGTGCGGCGGCCCATCCAGTACAGGCCGTAGCCCAGCAGGCTGAAGAAGGCGGCCTTCACGGCCAGCCGGGACACTCTTCCGGAGATGGACGGCGGGGGGACGCTGGGGGAGGGAGGGGAGGGCTGGGCCTGGCTGGGCCTGGGCTCCCCAAGCCCCAGCCCCAGGCATGGAGTCACCGCTACTTGCGGTTGGCATCCCAGGGGCCCAGCCTCCACGTTGGGGGCTCGAGGGGCGGAACCCAGACCACGGGGGGTGGGCGCTCACGTCATGATCTCCTGGATGTTGAGGTCGGTGCTCCAGTTCTTCTCAATGCCAGGCACGTGGCCCATGCCCACAACACCCACGACCACAGAGGGGACGCACTTCCTGGGCTCAGCTGTGGGGGAGGAAGCCAGGGGTCAGCACCAGTGCAGGAGCCACAGCAACCCAGGGAGCCCCGTGTGGGCAGCTGGTCACCATCAGAGGCGCGTGGCAGCTCGAAGCGACGGGCAGCCTGCCGCAGCATGTAGGTCAGGTAGATGTCGCGCTCTGAGACGATGGTGCGGTGCAGGTCGGGAAACTCGCCGATCATCTCAGCCATCATCTGCTCCAGCAGGTCCTTCTGCTTGCAGCGCTCCACGTCATCCTTGCTGGGGGCAGAGGGCACGGCTGCTAGCCCCCCAAGGATGGGGGTGGGGGGATGGCTGCAGGGGGCTGGTGCTATTCACACAGGTCAGGGACCACAGCACCATTTACTTGGAATTTATGGTGGAACAAAGGGGCAGAGAGGAACTCGTTTGAGGAGCTTGGCCCAGCTGGCACGAGACAGCAGGTGTGGCCACATGTAGATGTGCCACATGGTGAGGCCAGGCCTGGGCTATACATGGGCCTAGCACCCTCCCCCAGACCACCCTGTGGGTCGTCCCTGGGCTGCTAGCCACTATTCCCAGGCCAAGGCTGCCCTACCTGATCGGGTCTGACAGGAAACACAGGCCCCAGGCCAGCTTGACCTTCTGCCAGAAGGAGAGGGCGGCGATGGCCCGCTTGAAGGTTACTGGGATGGGCCGGTCACCCAGGTGGAACTTGCAGAAAGGCACCTTGCTGGCCTGCAGCAGAGGCCGGGGATAGGGAGTCATGGGCGCCCTGGACAGCTCCCGCTAGCCCCACACTCCTCTCCTGGGAGCCACATCCAGGCAGTCGCCCCCCAGACTGTGCCCAGTGCCCACCTCTTTGAAGGCCTCCCTGAACTCGCCTCCAGGGGCCATGCCTAGCTGCTCGGTGATGTGGGCAGACACCTTCAGCAGCAGCATTTGCATGAGGCCAGACATGAGCCCGTTCTGCAGGGAGAGGGGAGCAGGTGTCAGCCACGCTGTGCACAGGGCAAGGCAGGCAGAGCAGTTCTGGAGGGATGGGGCCCAGGAGCGCAGCCTTGCAGAGGAGTCAGCTCTGCACACAGGGCCATGTCCTCAGCCCCCTCCACGCCCAAGATGTGGGGCCGCCCTGTCAGTGGGAGGATTGGACCAGAGCAGGCGCATTCTGGCCTCAACAACCACTGTTCAAATCCATCTCCTTGATAGAGTTCTGGTTAAGATGGCGGAATAGAGGGTCCCCAGCGTCACTCTCTCCCACAAAACAACCAGTTTACAACTATAAACATGTAACATCAGCCAAGGTGGGGCTGCTGGAGCTCGGGAAGAGGAGGAGAGACCTACAGAGTGCATGAAGGTGGGAGAGACCATGATGAGAGAAAGAAAAAGCTGCTGTGAGCGTTTCAGGCTGCGGCTGCTTTAAGTCTCCAGCTGCTGAGCAACTGCAGCAGCAGCCGGCAGAAGCCGCAGCTGTGCCCTTTGGATGGAGTTATTTGGAGGTGGCAGGTGAGAAGAGGGACTTGGTGGCCCCCAGGACAGCAAGACCACTAATAGGATTCCCGTGGACCCACGCAGAAGCTAGGAGCCAGAACAGCTGAAAAAGGGGAGCCATTCAGAGGCTGGTGAGTCATCACAAGGGACTGGCACACTGGAAGAACACTGGGCACAGCCAGGACAGCTGGTCCACCCCCCAATCAGCACAGGACCACTCGGAGGAGACTGGTCAGGACTACAGAATTGCATGCGGTGCAGTTTGATGAAAAACTCAGGCCCAGATCAGAGTTTCTATACAACCCAGGTGCACCGGGTCTCTGGAGAGCTGGAAGTACCTATACGGTCAACCATTACACCCTGAGCTGCACGAAAAGCCTTCCCTAGGGAAACAGCAGCAAAGCAGCAATTTAGCTCAGCCACAGAGCTCAAGTACTGGTTCCCACAGGAAGTTCCCCTGTTTTAAAAGCAAGCAAAGGACAAAAAATTAGTTCTGGCCCAGGCATACCACCCGCGCCTTATGGCCCAACCAGGGACCCGAGGCGTGGAGCCAGGGACCGGACCCTCCTCCCAGAACCAGGCACACCACACCAGCACCTTGGGGCCGGCCTGGGGACCTGGGGCATGGAGAAGGGGACCGGACCCGCATCTCACATCCAGGCACACCACGCCAGCGCCTCAGGGCCCACTTGGGGACCTGAGGCATGGATCCAGGGACCAGACACTCCCCACAACCAGGCACACCACAAGCACCAAGGAGCAGGCCAAAAACATCTCCTCCATCTGGGTGGCCCATCACAGCCACCACAGTAACCATGGCTGCCATGAAAGCAGCTAAATGCCACAACCACCACACAGATGGCCTGCTAGCCACTGAAGCGCATTGACACAAGGAGAGTCACCAGCAGAGACCAAAGAAAAGAAGAGGATGTCTCTCTCCACAAAGCCCATTTCAGAGTGACAGAAGAAGCATCTGCTCTATGATAATATTGGGGGACCTGATCACACCTGTCAGCATTGGACAGATCGTCTAGGCAACAAATCAACAGAGTAACCAGTATCCTTTCAGAAGGAGAGAAGGAATCTAGGGTAATTACAGGGACGGAGGGGAGAGGGAGGGGATGGGGAGAGATTGGACAAGGGGCATAAAGAATAAGTATGATTTTAACAATATATATGCTAGTAATATTGATTTGATCAACATATCTCAATGTGGAACCCCCAAAATATGTATAATCAATTTTGATTTAATAAAAATTAAAAAAATAATAAAAAATAAAAAAAAAAATAAAAAAAACCAAAACAAATGCATCTCCTCTTTAAAAAATCCTTTATAAAACAGTGGTGTTGAAAAGGGCCATTGCACACTGTCAGGGATGGCCAGACCGTGTGTTTGTGGGGCACAGGCTGATCCTGGGCAAACGGGCTGGAGTCCAGGCCTTGCAGAGGCAGCCTGTCCCTCCCCACGTCTGCCTGCAGAGGCCAACAAAGACAGCGGCAGGGACACCAGGCACGCCACATCGACACTGACATGGTGCCAGGCTGGCAGCCTCTGGGGATGCTTCTCCCAGGAAGGGCAGCAAGGCTCTGGAGGCCACTGCACCCTCCCAAGGCTGGCAGCACCTGGACCCCTGGGAGCATCCTGCCTGCTCAGAGTGTCCTTGCTTGCGTGGGGGCCTGGAGCATAATAAACAGTATAGACTGACACGAAACCTGCAGTGGGTGACTCGGGCCAGATGGTACCAGCTGGAGCTCCAGAGAGGCTGGCCTGCGGTGCCCGGCCCTAGCTGGACTGGGGTCTGTAAAGGCCTTTGGTGACTTCCCTCACCCAGGGGAATTCACAGATGAAAATCAGGTACCAGCA